AAAAAAAAAAAAAAATCCCCGTCAAATTAATGCAGGCGTCAAAAGTGTTTTCTCATGTCCCTATGTTTTTGTATACATCGATTAAGCGCGCGCGTATTTGTACACTTCCGCAAGTCTGAATTGGGCGAATTCATCGGTTTGGTCCCTCCTCACATTTGCGTTCTTCTTAACATTTTCCACCTTCCCATGGCTATATGTTAACATTGTTGCGTATTTTCTGGGGAATTATTATTTTCCTGTTGTATCCATTTTTGCGTTACCCATTATCCGCCGGTTTTTTTCCCCCGCCGCAAGTCACTTGAACAATTTTTTTCGTCCTGGCTTTAGCCCTATTTCTGCGGTCGAACGTATGAGACGCCCCCTTCTTCTCCCCCAAGAAAATAAGCAACCTAGTGCCAAGGACGCATTCACAATGCGCAGGCATTCCGAATGCAGGCTTGCCAAAACACAGTCATAACTCCACGACTGACACTTGAACGGAAGAGCGCAAAATGGGGGAGCCACAGGAAGGACCCTTAAAATTCTCCGACTTCACCTTGTCCAAATATGGCAACAAGAGAATCAGGATAAACAAACCGGATGAAGATGTGAAATATTTGATTTCCCGTTTTACGGACAATCGGGAAATTAGCAAGTTGACCGGCCCAGTGACGTTTATCGTAAGGGGATAGAGCAGCGGTTAGGCGCACGCCCTAACTTAAACCGTGAGCCGAATGGCTAACCCCACAATGACAGTTTACACTGCACACTGTTCACTTTTTTTTTTTTTTGTTTTTGCCCCACCCACACACCAGTCCAAAGACCAACATGGAGAAAGCCCCACGGTGAATGACAAAAATAACAATGCCTTTTATTGGCTACTAAAAAACTCATCGAATGAAAAGGCAAAATCAAATCACAAGTCGTACATGTCCAAACAGAGCAACATGGATACGGATGTATTTTTTGTGCTGATGGAAAATGAAGAATATTCCGACATTTACCCCATCTCCAGTTGGCACGTGTTCGAACCAGACCTGTCGGCAAAAACGTTGAGCAAATTTAATATAGATAATAACCCGCAAGAAAAATTAAGAGCAGAACAAAACAACAGAAGGTTAGATGATATAATTGAAAGGTTAAAAAGTAAAGAAGAAAATATGAAAGTAAATTCCAAAGTGAGAGAAGAAGGAAATGCAAAAAAAAAAAAAAAAAAAAAAATTGTAAATTCAGACTCATCTTCATCCTATGAGGATGATGATTTAGGATTAAAAAAACAAGAAAAAAAACGCTTAAAAAATTTGTATAAATTAAGAATGAGAGAAAATCAGGATGAAATTGATTATGTCGATTCAGCTCTTTCCATTAGTGCTTTGCGCAAAAGTAAAGTCAATTGGGATTACAACAATGATGGTAAAAAGAGTGATGATGAAGACATTAATTTGGATGACTCAGGACAGGAAGAATTTGAGGACGATGATAATAATGATGAGAATGAAGATTCCGATAATAACTCAGAGGTAGACCTTTCTCGACTCACCACCTATGGACAAACTATGAAGTCTCTCCTCAAACAACAAGTCCATGATGAGGAGGATGACGAACTGAAGCAGTACTCCGATGATGATGACGAGGAGGAGGAAGAGGAAGAGGATGACGGCGATGAAGAGGAGGAGGATGACGAAGATGAAGAAGAAGTAGAAGGGGAAGAAGAAGAAGAGGAGGATGACAAAGTTGATGATGGAACTGTAAATATGGCTAAGAAAAACTTAGCCGCCAAAAAAAATATGCTAAAAACAGAGGCACAAAAGAAGGCCAAAAAAGGACTTGCCCTGAACAAACCGCAAAAGGATAAGCGACACGTACAAGATGAAAACAACGAAGAAGAGGATGAGGAGGAGGAGGAGGAGGAGGAAGATGATGAAGAAGAGGAGGATGAAGACGAGTACCAAGGGGATAAAAAAAGTACCCCACATAAAAAACAACCCCTACTACAAAATTCCAAAACAAACAGCATTAACGAATTCATTAAGGAAAAAATTAAAAATAAAGAATTACAAATAAAGGAAGAAAACTGTACAAAAATTTTACTAAAGCTTATTGAAAAAAATAATGGAAAAATGGACATCCTGACTCTCCTCGATGTTTTAAACATTAAAGAAAAAAACCAAAGCTTCTTGATCGTGCAGAAGTGTATAAAAAATATGTGCAATATTAGCTCGCAAACCATTAACAATAAAAAGGTAAAGATGGTATCCTTGAAGCCCAGGTTTGCCTCTAAGAAGTAGCTGTTCTCAACCTGTGACGGTGAGTGGGCAGCCCACCGATTAAATCCCATGTCTCTGAGCGGAGTCCCCGTCCTTAGTGATGCACCCGCGTATATACATATATGTGTGTACATATGTATGTATAGGAGCGCCCGCCTCACGTTGTCTTTCTTACATCAGCATGATGACGCGTGCCCCCACCCATTGCAGATATGTCCCTGCATAGTTGCGCAACAAATTTGATCACCCAAATCACGTTCTTTGCGTGGTACGTGATAGTAATAATTTCCTTTGCGAATTTTCTTTTTTTTTTTTTTTTTGTATTGCCCCAAATGAATCCCTTTTTTTTTTTTTTTTTTTTTCAACACAAATTGGAGAATAAACCTTTTAAGCTTTCCCATTTTGTGCAGTGTGCATTTGGCAGGAAAACTGAATGGCGGGATGCTTCCCCCACAAGCGTTAAAAGACAAACCGCCGTCCAACCCTTAACCTTTTCTTCGACCCCCGGATGTTCTCTTCAGCATATGGTTAGTTGTATGGTGGTCGCGGAGGTCACCTGTGGCACTCTCATAACGTGTGTGTTATTAAGTTGAGAAGTTACCCCCATCTGTTGTCAATATTAAATGCAGCTTACACGCGCTCAATATGCTAGTCCGCTTTGTAGAAAGGGGGACCTCCACAATGAACTGTACAATTATCCCCACACGACAGGTGCACAGAATGGCAAAATGGGAAGCATACCGGTTTGGAGTGTTATCCCCTTTAGCCGGAAGAATAACCATTTATTTATCCTTCTGCCAATTGGCGCATTAACTAGAAGGGTTTAATGCGTCACCACCCGTAGTGCATTCCCTTGTTCATATGGGCGTCGTTATTATGGTATTGTTGTGCTTTTCACGTGGTACTAGGAATGCCCCCCCGAGGGTGCCCTCACACATGCTTCTGCATGAGCATTAAAAAAAAAACAAAACAAAATTCTCTTACAGGGGGTACATTTTTTGGCCATTTTGTTATGCTCCTCCCTATTGGATCCATTTTAGTCGAGTTACCCCAGCAGGTAATCACACCTGTGTGCGACCAATGTTCATATTTTTTTTTTTCTTCTTTTTTGCCCCATATGAGATAACCCTGATCGCCTCTCCCACTTGAGCAAGGCGCAGGAGTACCCCTCTATATCATCCTATCGCCTGATATAAAAGCAGCAAAAATGGCAGCAAGAGACCCAGGACCATACCTGAACCAAGTGCCTCTGGGTTTCCCTAGTTACAACAGAAAAGTGTTTAGGGACATTTTGGCGAGGCGCGCTTTTATGGAGTCCGAAGTCAACACGCGCGTTTATAAAAATGTGTTTGACAATCTTGGCTTTAGGGGCCACATAAGAATTAACAACAAGGTAGGGCGGTGTAGCGGTTGAGTAGAGAGTGTGTGGACGTCTTGCAGCAGTAGCACCGGTTTGTAATTAAAGTGCAGCTGGACGGGATAAGAGCAGCTCCCTTCCCCGCACGGAGTCTTAAACCGGTCGACAAACAACCACACACACACACACGCAGGGTTAATAATGGATGGTTTGCTGGTGTGAGAGAATTCACCCCATTTTGTACTTTCATACATTCCTTCGTTTAATTTGTCCCTCAATTTCCTTTCCCATACATAAGTTGCACCCCTTTTTCTCCATGACCACCCCCTGCAGGTCGGAGTTAACCGGATACGAATGAGGTGCATACAAGGCGGGTACTCTAGAGGAATTTACAAATTCACGAGGATGGCGAAAATGGCTTTTTTTCAAACCGCAAGAGAAGGGTGGTTAAAAAAGTATGGTTATCGACCTGACCTGTTCAGGTAAAAATGGGGTAGAACAAGTCACGTCTCTTCCTCTCGCACGAAAAAAAAAGGGTTATTATATTATAAGACAAAGGGTACCTTAAAAAAAAAAAGGCGTGATGCTTCACACACGAAAGTTGTTTGCACTTGTGCGTTATTTTATTTTTGGGCAAGCGAGAGAGACAAGGCTAGGCAAGCTTTTTCTCCTTGTCCTGTTTTTTCACCGATGGATAATTCGCTTTGGACGTACGCACGTTGTCGGCATAGTGGAGAGGGGCAACGAAAAAAAAAAAAAAAAAAAAAAAAACACCAAATAGCATAGTATTGTATAACACACAAAAACACAATGAAACGTAGCGTAACATATTCAAACGAATGGAACACGCCCGCGGCTACTTCTATGAAGCGAACCGCTGCCGCTTCCATCGCTAACCCCTTGAAGAAACCATTTTTCATTTTCCCATACCCTGTACCGTCGGTTGAGGTTCCTCACGAATTCGATCAGGCTCGGCTTTGAGAGCAGCGCACGCTGCAGGTCTTCGTTGACTGCGGCGGGGGAACAGGCGGCAAATAAAGGTAGATTCGTACCAGAAAAAAAAGTGGGGGCTCATGAGAGGGGAGCTCTGCACAAAATGGGCAGCAACATATGAACCCCTCTCTCACCCCCCCCCAGTACCATTTTCCTATTATCGATATTTTCCAATCTATCCGAATGGTGTAGTAGGGGGAGAACTTTTTTCTCGTGTCTCCATTTCCCCTTTCACTGTTAAGGAAAGGTTTCTTTTAAAATCTAGCCTCGCTTACATTTCGACGGAAGGGAGTAAAGTATGGAAAGAACGGAGAAGCACATGGAGTCAAAGTAGCAGACATCGCGTTCTTCCCCAGTGGAATTGTCGGCACTGCATATGACCTCCTCCAAGATGCTTAAAATTCTTTTCAACCTGGTTATATTCTGCAAAAAAAAAGAAAAAAAAGGAGCAAAAATGCAAGAGATGTTTACACTTTACATTTTTTTTTTTTTTTTTTTTTAAATTTCTCTCCAAACATTATCGTTTAGTCTGGCGGCCTGACCAAATTGTGATTGTCCAATCCAGCCATTTGGCACTTTTCGTAGTTTTCCCGTCTCAATCTTCTGTAAAAAAAAAAAAAAGAAAAAAAAAATTAAGCAGACGTTAATCCATTCCTCGCAAAACACACATGCACAGTTGTCATGTCTGCACATGTCTGTTGAGCCGAATGAAAAGCTGCCCCAAAATATCCAACCTCGTTTTTACCTCGTCAGATAAATATAATACAAATAGAAGAACCTATTTTTGTAAATATTTTTCGTAAAGTTGTTATAAATCTCGTCATCCACCCAAAGGAAGTACTCCTGCGAATGGTAATATTGCGAGAAGGATGTGTACTCAAAAGGTGGGGAACGGGGGGGAATATTTTCAATAATTGGTTCCCTCGGTAGAGTGCTAAATGGGTAGACGTACCAAAATTGCCTTCAACTCGTTTACTACTCCAAAGTAGGGTTCATATTCAATTGAGTCAAATAGGTAAAGCTGAAAGGAGGGGGAAAAAAAAGAGAGATAGATAGACAGAACGGGTTTAAGTGCACACATTGCGGAGGAGAAGCAAAAGAAAAAACAACACCTATACATTTTCACACACGCGAACGAGCCTCTCTCTGCACCCTGCATAAACGACATCCCACTCGCATATATTTTAACATTTTTCATGTAGTCGATAATGTCCTCTCCAAAAAGGATATTCCCCTCCAGTGTGTTAAAGGCGTAAGGGTAAGACCCATAACTGCTGAAGGGGTGTGCCTCCCCCACCAGGTGAACGAAAGAACAATTAAAAACATTGTTCAAAAAAAGCAGTTGGACGGTTAAGCAGTCTATAAAAATGTCACCAACATCTCTTATAGAACAGTGGTGGTAATGAACGATCAACTTTTGTGGAATATGAACCATCCTTCTTCTTTTTCTTGTCAGCGTAGCTGCTTTTTTTTTTTTTTTTCCCTCAAATATTTTCCAAGCTTTAGGATGTTCACTGGTGGAAAAAAAGTTATAACCTCATGTCATAGTAACCACACTCCTTTTTTTTTCCCCCCTTAATACTTCAAAGGGTTGGGTTCACAAAACAGTCGCAACGCATCAAATAGGTGTACATTTTTTAAGTTCGCGTGGGGGGAAAAAATACAATAACACAGGCATTGTATAGCAGTGCAGCTTATCATTCCCTTGTTTAACACTCCACGGATACCTATTTGGCGTATCTTTTATTACACTTTTTTTTTTTTTTTTTTTTTTTTTTAACGTTTTTCCAACTAAGGGCAGGCAGTTTATTTATGTCCCCTTTTGTGAAACATGCGACGGAGCAGGTTGGGGAACGTACACTGGGATGAACCTTTTTCTAACACAGAACCTCAGCCAGATGATAAGGAGGCGAAAAAAAAAGAAAAAAAAAAAAAATCACAAAGTGTTATATACCAATAAATGAAACAAGCATAACATTTGAACCCTCTTATGTCACATTTTGAGGGGGAAAAAAAAAATTTGAATTTCTAATCATCTGGCAGGAATACTCCCCCCTTTTCTAGTCATCCCTAATGCAACACCTTTATAGTCTCCCCCCACAAAATTTACACGAAGTGGTAAAAAAATTGGAAAGGCATTTACAAAGTGGGTAAAATAAAAGCGATATGTGTATGAGTTCCGCGGCTTCGTCTTTATATGTAAACCTTCGATCACTCATTTGTGAATGATAAAAAGCGTTTAGGAAGTTTCTGTTGTGCGGCTGCGCCGACACAAAATTGTGAACTCGAATTTAGCCAACTGTGGATGGAGTCACCATAATGTTTAAATGTCTGTTTTACCCCCCTTACACGCGTTTCTCATTTGGGCAGGAGGTCCTTTTCCTTCTGATTTTAAATTGGTATAACAGAATAAATGTGAAAGGGGTAGACATGAAGATATGAACTGTGTCACTATCATGCCACTACGTTACCAAAATGAATGCAATTTAGCCGCGGGATTCTTCTACTTACTCACTACCCATTTAGTAGTAACCGGGTTGTCCCTTTTTATCATCACAATTGTGTGCCTGTTTTTTTTCCCCAACTTTTTATCTACTACGTGGGAGAATAGGAAATATTCACCACGCCTAACGGATGTGTGCGAATTTATTCAAAATGTCTTTTTTAAAGTATCGTAGTGGGTAGCAAATAGGCAGACTATCCTCTTGACACACGAAATGATGCCCCCGTGGGGTTTTAATAGCTACCCCGTTGTCACACACACAAAAGGAGGAAGAAAAAAAAAAAATAATAAAATAATATTTATTGGCTTCTTTACAAACAAGCAAGGTGAAAAAAAAAAAAATTAAGTGGCTTTCCAATTTTCTTTTTGGCTGTTTATACTCCGTGCACATGCCACATGTTCCATTTTGGCTGTTTGAAAAAAAAAAAAAAAAAAAAAAAAAAAGTAAACGCTACAAAATAGCTAGAAAAAAATATGAACGTTCAGGTAAGCCCATTCGTTATATTCCAACCCCACTATAACGAATGTGTCTATTTTTTCAAGTCGATGCACACAGCAGATCAAAAAAAAAAAACAACCGTACATTTTGCAAAATATATGCTGTTTTAAGTTGTTATTTTATGGCTGTCTCTATCTTTTTGCTTTGCGCACATAAGTACCGGGTTGCATTTACACGTGTTAAGCATATATACATGTATATCGCATTTGAAGTGTTATTTTTAACTCCCACGTAGAGGATTTCCCCTTTAAATTTCACTTTCTACCGCTGTGGAGTGAAGAAGTGTACCGCCTATCCTGTCCCCTCTCACAGAACAGCATCAATAACAACCACGCAGTAGGAACAATCATAAAATAACGACAAAATTGTCCCTTCACCGTGCCAAATTCCCATTATTATAACATTTGCGAACGTCAAGATGAACTTGTTCAGGAAGTCTATATGCTCACTTTGTAACTGCTGCAAGTGCTGCTGTGGTAAGGACATCATTTTAGGAAACCGGGACGCATCCCAACACCTCGTCTCACAACCGATGTGTGCGTTCTCCCGTCTGCATTCATTAGTGTACAACTTCTCCGCTTGCATGTAAATTATGCGATAGCGCGAGCACTTTTGCCTTGGCTGCCCGCTGAACAGCCGTCTCCTTCGTGTGTACAATACCCTTGCACCAACCTTAATTTCTCATTCAGAAAAGGAAGAAATAAAAATCACTGAGAGGACCTACACCTACAACGAAGTGGACGCACGCTGCAGTAAGGAGGAACCCATCACTTTCCCCTGTATTCCAACGGAACGCATCATATTAAATTCTTCCGACAATCCTCCTCTGTACTACCATCAGATTGATAGCGAGTTTTACGCAAAGAACATTTTGTACGACGTGCCCCTCATAAGTTACGCTCAGGGCCCCTTTTACGAAAAAATGCCTGACTTAAAAGATAATGAGAAGTATCAATTGCCGACCATCAGTTATGTATCTGATCCTGTGTACCTCCGACGGAGGCAAAAGTGCGCTCTGTCCGATATCACAAAATCTATTTGTTGCGATTCATGCGAATGCAAGTGCAGCTAGCCATATGTACATTTGTACGTCCATTTGCAAAAAGTAGCAAAAGTGGGGTTTCTTCTGTACATCTGACTGGGTTCACACGTCTTGTCTACCACACCATTTACTTATTAGTTCATTTTACTATTATTTTGTTTGTGTGCTTGTTCTTTTTTTTTTTTTCCCCCCCCAACAACATGGAAGCCACTCGCAAAATAAACAAATTGATGAGTTACAAAATAATTAACAAAAAAAAAAATAAAATAAAACAAACAAGTGGTGGAAAACACACCGACGGGAGCATGCACATTTGGGGCGAACTACCCATTTGAGAGGTGCGCCCCACGATAGACACTGATATCGTCTTCTGTCCACCACGTTAGGCATTAGTGAGAAGCTTTCCCCTCTTCAGTTCATGTCCACACCCTGCTATATCGAAATATTTTACTCTGCGAAAAAAAAAAGAATAGCAGACAAGTGGATATGTAAAAAGGGGGAAGAAATGATTAGAAAAAAAAAAAAAAAGGTCTCCTTATCAACTTATATTTTCGTCAAATTCTTATTCATGTGGGGCATACTTGACAGAGGCATGCTTGATAAAATCGCAACTCGTGCAGATCACTTTCCCATAGGTGTCTCCGACCCATCCACATCCTATTGCGAAAAAGGGGGGGCAAACCACCGCTCGCGTATCAATGTAGGGGAGTGAATACATACACTGGGCATATGACTCACCGAGCGCACTGCCTCATTTTTAGAAGCATCCGCGTCGGATGTGTGCAGGCATGTGAAAACTACACTTGGTACGTTAAATGCAACAGGGGATTAATGGACCCTCAGACATATACCTGTACTAGGATTGCTGCAGTCGCAGAGTCTGCAGTATACGTCGTCCCAGTGATCATTCCCCCTCATCGTTCTGTGGAAATTATTCTCGCAGCCTGCAAAATAGGTTGTCACCATGGAAGAAACGGTAGAGGAAAATGTTGGCAACAGTGGCGATGAAATAAGCGGTGCCATGGTCACTGGCAACGTCGGGGGTTAGGGATAAGAACAGGCTCAGCGGCGACGATATCGAAATGCGACCGCCATGGTGGGAGCTTCTCGGGCGGACCATCTCGTGTAGGGTGGCAACATCTCCCGCACAGTTCTGTTGTGCACATGTGGCACAGTCCTACATCGGGACTCGTAGCGCAAAACAAGACGGCGAGCATGAATAAAAAAATTCGCTTCATTTGTGCCGTCAAATTTTGGGGTATAATTACACTTGGGGGAGGTTTTTTGTTAACATGGGAAAGAGGAAAAAAGGCCACCCTTAGGAGGAGTACACATCTGAATTAGCAGACCAATATGTACATATGTGTTTGTGTGATTGTGCATGAGCAACTGCGCTGTGTCTACTTTAGCGAGGAATATGTTCAGACTGGCACATGGGGGTGTAAAATACGCACAGCTAATTGCACAACTGCCCTTCAAAAAAAAAAAAAATATATAAATATATGCCCACGCTTGTGTGTAGTCACTTTTGCAACGAATTTAAATAACTTTGAATTTTTTTTTTTTTTTTTTTTTTTTTTTTTGCCAACATTTGCATAATAAAAGTGTGTATGCACATTAATGAAGACTCGCGTGTTGACTGTTCTGCCCGATTTTTCGTCTGAGCAAATGCTACGCCTCTTTTTCTTTTCTGCAAAATGGCTCCATTTGAACTATGTAGAGCGCATGATTATTCCTCACTACTAAATGGGTCATGCAAGGAGAACAAGAGGAACATGCCAAAATGCTGCTCATCATTTCGTACTTGCAATGTAGGTGCAATGTGTTTGAAGACAATATGGAACATGCCATCTCGTCCGGGAGAAAAACAACAGCGCCGGCATGAAGAGGCCTACTTGCTGTTTGGAAGACTACTCGATGTTGACACGCGGGGGGTCAGCAGTAACGTAATAGGAATGTAGAAAGTTGCTAGCACAATCGCATACACCACGCGGTGTGCAATTTAAAGTATGGACAAGGGTAAAAGTTTCCCCTTCATATCAAATGTCCCTCCATAAAAGGGAACGTCTACACGTGAAGTATTTTTTTGACTTTTTTCACAAAGTGGTGAATAATTCTCACATATCGAAAGTTGTATTTAAAAAAGGGGTAAAAAAAAAAAAAAAAAAAAAAAAAATTCATATGAATGGCACGGTGCCATGGAGGGGGCTGGGATGTGTTCCTATCCCCCAAATTCGGCCTGCGCCAATAAATCACATCACATGGGGCGAATTCCCCACGGTGACTGTCTAAGACACACAGAGGGAGATGAGCCTTTACGAACGCGTCGTAGTGGGGTTACATATATATATATATATATATATATATATATATATATATATATACATATTCGCTGGGTGACGCGGTTGCTGTAGGGGAATATTGTGCAGGGGGATATTGTAAGTGGACTATTCCTCCACCTAGACAATTTGCATGCCACTCAAAGGTAGGCGCGGCCCCGCGTGAGGTTCCAGTACTTGACAAACTTCTCCAACAAATCTGCTTTGACATTGACGAGGGTGCCCCCCGTGGGCTTCATGAGGCCCATGAGGCTCCTCAAGTAGTGGACGAGTTCATCGCAGTTGGAAAAGTCAAATTCGCGCAACGATTCTGCAATGTCCTTTTCGTTCAGCCACACAATTTTAATTTTATTATATATATTAAAACAGAGAAGGATAATATGAAGGACGGGATGAAAAACGGTATGCGGAGAGGTGTAAAAGTTACTCCATTTTTTGTTAAGTATATTTGTTTCGTAAATAAAAGCGATCAAATTGCATTTGTTTTTAATAACATATTCTGAGTGAGTAAAAATTTCATTCTTCCACAGGAGAATACAAGAGCCGTTACTTTTCATGCCCTCTGGAAATATGACCACTGATTTTATTTTTTTATTTTTTGCAAAGACATGTACTTGTTCTAGGTTTTTAAATTCTCCTTTCTTGTTTGGAATGGAAAATTGTAGTGATAGCTTTATTAAGTCAAAGAAGAAAACAGGAGACAGACTTCCATTTTTGTTAATAATAACAAATAGGGGGTTGAGACGATATGCTAAATATAAAATGTCGACGAAGGAGGTAAAGTTGGACAGATATATGTGGCCATAATCATCATATGTGAATGGAATTTTCTTCTTCATGCATTTTATTTTAACTCTTTTGTGGCTAGCATACTCCTCATCCATGTAAAAAAAACCCAAGTAAAAAAGCAACAGTCGGCAATAAATGGCTTGTATAATTTGATAGAAGAAGTCCTTTACGCTCTGGAATATGAAGAGGTTCACTAGGCTGTTTAGGAAAACCATAAAAATTAATGTCAGGGATAGGAAGCAAAAGCGACACAGCACCAGGGGGAACAGAAGAAATTTTAAAAGCTTCTCGTGGACACTCAATTTGTTGTTTACCCATAAGGGCAAAAATGGATTTATGCCTGTAGCTGCGTCTGCGAACTCACGATATTTTTCCATTTTTCCATATTTTTGAGTTTTTACATATGTATATATATATACGTCTCATCCGGGGGGCATGCTTCCCGTGCCGCCTCTGCTTCCGTTTTCTTGCCGCGTTTTTCTGTGGCTTCACCGATCCGTCTGCAATTTTGTCCCTATCACCTTCCTTCCTCTGCTGCCCACTTCTTGGGCCCCTCCCCGAGTGGGACTCAGCTGCGAAAACATACGTTGTACACCATGCGGTTCTGTGTCCTCCGCAAATTTTGACACAAATGAGCCTCTGCAAACACAGCGGCGCCAAGAGCTTTTATGCGTGTTCATGGAAGTGGAAACATATAACAGCCCCCTTCCAACAAAGAGACCACAGGTGTGGAACCATTTAGGAGAACATAGTCTCTCTGTCCTCACAAAAAAAAAAAAAAAAAATGTTCCATTTGGCAGAAAGG